CACCTCCCCCCCCGAAAGATAGCATAGTCCGACTAAGCAAAGATTCCAATTATACCATCATGTAAACACACTGACTTTGAAGGATGCAGGAACTCAGAGGCTACCAGTGGCTGCTAATTAACCTGTCATTGTGTTCGCTAACAAAGAAACAAAGGAACAAAGTGGAATTTCAATGCAGGAGATTATCACAATCACAAAGAGCGTAGTGCTGGATCATGCACTTGATAGGGATCTTCACACCGGCCACAACAACATTACATTACATGTCATTTAGCGGACGCTTTTATCCAAAGCGACGTACAATAAGTGCATTCAACCATAGGGTACAAACTCAGGAGAACAAGAAACAAGAAAGTGCAATTTCCTCAAATAAGCCAATTTACAATTTTCTATAGATGAGTGACATTACAAGTACAATTTAAGTGCTACAATTTGTTAGTCTTTAGTCGAGGTAGAGTCTGAAGAGGTGTGTCTTTAGTTTGCGGCGGAAGATGTGAAGGCTCTCTGCGGTCCGGGTGTCTTCAGAGAGCTCGTTCCACCATTTCGGCACAAGGACAGCAAAGAGTCGAGATCTAGTCGAGTGTTTTGCTCTCAGTGAGGGAGGAACGAGCAGTTTTGCAGATGCAGAGCGGAGAGTGCGGGTTGGGATGTAGGGTTTGACCATGTCCTGGATGTAAGCTGGACCCGATCCATTCACAGCATGGTACGTGAGCACCAATGTTTTGAACTGGATACGGGCAGCCACCGGTAGCCAGTGAAGAGAGCGGAGGAGTGGAGTAGTGTGGGAGAATTTTGGATGAGCTGGAGGTTAAGCCCTCCAGCTCATCCAGAATGCTGCTGCATTCTGGATGAGCTGCAGAGGTTGAATGGCGGTGGCAGGGAGACCAGCCAGGAGGGAGTTGCAGTAGTCCAGGCGGGAGATGACAAGAGCCTGAATCAGTACCTGCGCTGCCTTCTGAGTGAGAAGGGGACGTATTCTCCTAATGTTGTAGAGCGTGTATCTACAGGATCGCGTTGTCGCAGTGATGTTGGGAGTCAGGGAGAGTTGGCTGTCGAGTGTGACGCCGAGGTTCTTAGCGGTCAAAGTGGGCGTTAGCACGGAGTTTCCAAAGTTGACTGTCTGGTCCTGGGTAAGCGAATCTTTTCTGGGAAAGAGAAGTAGTTCAGTCTTGTCGGGGTTGATTTTCAGATGGTGGGCGGACATCCACTGAGAGATGTCAGTTAGACAGGCAGAGATCCGAGCCGCCACCTGGGTGTCCGAGTGAGGGAAGGAGAGAATTAGTTGGGTGTCATCGGCATAGCTGTGGTAAGAGAAGCCATGCGAGCGAATGACAGCGCCATATGAAATTAGATCAAAGACAGATGAAGTTACATTAACAAAACAATGCAGTCTTGTTATGCAATAACCAGCCATGTGGGCCTTCGCTAGGTGTAGGAAAGTACAACTGCGCAGCTACGCCAGAACGATACGTCTTCCTCTCCAACTTCTGCAAGATTGTATTCGATTGTGAGAACTTTACTGCGGCTTTGTTCCGTACGAGAGGAGGTGTAGCATCCTTCCTCAAACACATCAAGACAAAGAGGAAATGGGCTGTGTGTTCTTCGCTGGTTATTGTGGCCTGACTGGCAATTACTGCTGACTTCCGAACCAGTGCAGAGCCCGGGCCTGCTGAGGGTGTCCTGAACCCTGCAGTGCCCAGAGGGGAGAGACAGGAGCTGTCAAATCTCACACCTCTGCCCTGCTGCTGTGGGGAGCGCTCCTCCAGCTGCTGTCCCCACGGGGCTCGCTGTACACTCTCGCTAATCAGCCCCATCTCATCTCTGAGAGGAACTAGCCCCAAGTGGATGAAGGCCTCTTTCTCACCTCTGCTACCATAGCGCACCTTTGAAGTCCTGTGCAAGTGTTAGTTTTATGGCTGGAGATGGTACGATAAGATCTTACGGAAAGGTGATAAATTAGCTTTTCGTCACACATTTAAAAAGGGGAAATAGCAGGCTGCTAAAAGTCCACAGACTCTGTTACAGTTTTAACACTTAACAGTTAAAGCACTTGAGAAGCAACAACAGTGTAGCGTCAAACCTGTTAAGTACCTTAATTAAAGCAGCGTGTTTGTATTTAGCTTGCTTCCCACACTGAGGTTCTGTATTAACAAGCATTTGGCCACGCCGTAGCTGTGGGGCTCCTATGAATTGAATGTAATACTTTGACAGGACAAGCTGGGACAGAGCAGAACTTTTGCTCTGAGAACACACCCTTCACAGGCATGCCGAATGAATCTCTGCAGGGCAGATTTATCAGGAATAAGCATGATAGAATTCAACATTATCAACGTCTTGGGTACAGCGAGAAAGAAAGCCACACTGACTTTCAACCCTACTTTAATGATGAAATGAGGAAGACGTGCGAGTCCGATCTCAGATGTAATGGCCGGAGGTGGACGAGTTTGGAGCCTGAAGTTTGATCAATGACTTTCTGTTGGTTGTCAGTCTCACCTCGTCTCAACCCGTCCAACACAGACATTCAGGAGATAATAACCAGAGATCCATCTATATACATTAGAGACAGCTATGTTTCCTGGTATTGTAAACCTAAATATATGTAACCTGTCAAGTCATGTTATTAGTGAAGTGAAGTCATTATATTTATATAGCTGAAAATCACAAATGTACCTCAAAGGGTTTTAAAATGTATTCTCAAGAACATCCAAGGACTGATGGAAAAAATGACTTTTACAATACCTTGCAGTATCTATTTATACATCTATATATCCACACATATATCAATCTATATACATATGTTTACATATTTATTTTTTCAGCTTTATTTTTCTGCTGAGGAACTCTTTTATTTGCACATCACAACCTGCAGCAACAATGTGAATCCTTATCTTGAATAACAATCATCACCCCATTTCCTGGAACCAGTAGGTCTTCTTTACGACATCCACTTCCAACAGATAACTTAAATTTCAGTATGCGGCTCAAAGGTCCATTTAAATAACATTAAATTTTTATATTTAAAAAATATATAGATTCCTCCTTTTCTGATGGGCAGGAGCATGAACTGAGAGCCTTAAGCTTTATGACAAAAAAAGACTTTCATCACAGTTTATAAAACACATCTTTAGCTTCCAGCTCTGTCTGCTGCAGCTCGGTGGAATTTTGCCGCCGCCACCCGCTGCCATAATTTGTTTCACAGTCACCACCCAGCAGCATGAATCAGATGTTGACACTCTAATTTCATGCACACATGGGTGTTTGGCTGGGCCTGCCCCGAATGCTGCTGCATCCCTCTCTCCCTCCAGCTGCCCACTATACCTGCCCTTTGCCCTCGGACACAGCCATGTAACCTAGTTAACCTGGGGGTCACCCATTGTGACGGATGATTTAAGCATAGTCTCATAATGATGACGTGCCCCGTGTGGATTTGACTTGAGGCACATCATCTCCACACTGCTCTTTTTGTGGTATCAAAACAGATGGATGACCTGTGACAAAACCGTATTACAAATGTTAAGATTTAGTACTATGATTTTATTGTGTATGATTTGTATGAACAGGTTTAAAGGAATGATGGCATCTCAGAAAATAAAGATGTTTACCCAGTAGTGCGTCTCCAACCTGTCAGGAGAGCACCACGCTGGTCTATTTACCACTAAAATAAATCAGTTTACAGGGTCAACACCTCCATCTGGAAATATTTGTTTTTAATTTGTGGTTTTTGCATAGAAAAACCTATATACTTGCAAGAAACGATGAAATATAGCCACTAGCCATGTTTCAAAATGTCTAAAGGCTTGTCAAGGATTGACACGTTTGCGGAGCATAATTAATGCAAGTTTTGTCCATCACTGATTATTTTGCTTCTTCTAAAAGTCAGAGATGACAGCCTGTCTGCTGTGGGAGAAAAGAGAAGCTAGAGTGTTTGTCCATGTCCTCATTCTGTCAGCTCAAAAAGCCAGCAAAAAATATTTTTTATAGTGGCCAGCAGATTCACCGTATAAACATAGACGCTGAACAGAAAGAAAAGTGACGGCCTCTCCCAACATCTCTCCTTCACGACGAGCCTGACAGCTCCTCTCATGAGTGAGCATAAATCCACAAGATAAACTCACAAACAAATAAGTTGTTTGTGTACCGTGGAAGCCAGATAATGGCCGGGGTTTTATGAAACACTTGCTTCCTCTTGACAAATATCCAAACAATAAACACATTGTAAATAACAGCACCCTGTCCGTATCAGCTCCTTACTTGAGGTTAAGTTGAGTTTATTGCGGAGGCCACTGCCTGCATGCATCAAGCAAATACTAAATTATACATGCTAATTACCTTGGGCCTCCACTTTAATGAATTATTTTAATTAAACTACAACACTGGGGCTTTACATGTGGTCTATATTTCATTCCCTGCCTAAGATGACCTTCTTTTTTGTCTAAGTGTAACATAGTCGAGAGAACAAGGACAAGCAGACTTGGTTTATGAAACTGATTTCAGATGATGTTACTGAAATTATGAAAAACATCATTGCTGAATTGGCAAGAACCAATTTTATTATAAGGAAAGGATTAAATGATAGGAGGTAAACCGGAACATTAGCAGATGAAAAAAATACATACATAACAACGGTTATCAATTTATGGTTTCATTCAGAAAAAAAAATATCGTTTCCAAATTGGGTGTCAGATGGGATTCCAATGTTGAGGTCAAATATATTTCTTCCCTCAACTGTAACCTTCGGTTCCATGCTCATTTGAATATGTTGTGCTGGACAAGCTGAAGGTTTTTGTTTATTTGCTATCTCACTAACAACCAGAAACATCTTTTCTGGAATTACTTCATTCCGTTTATGTGCAATATTTCCGTCACTTTCATGAAACATCCACTCGACGCATTGCATCTTAAAATATAATCAAAGGAGGTAAGGATGTTGCAGTTCTAAAGTTGCATTTCGTCAAAGTAGAACAGAACACATCAAATGAACACTTTTAGTTACTTTTCAATTCTGGGACCATTTTTTTAATGAATGAAATTAGTTTATATATATGTAACATTGATATTTTAATTATAACAGACAAAGTACACTGAAATCCATCCTGGTGGATACGTTTAAATGTGTAGTAAATATATATTGTTGTTACATATTTCTTTGTGGCTGGACTCATTGCTTTAATGTGCTTAGTGAAAAAAAGTTCCATACGGCACGTTGATTTGGTTTAAATGAAATTGTAATGACCAGCCAGAAAAATGTAATCTGATTCCAAATTAAAGCTTGCAATCTGCCGTTGCAGTGTCAATACATTAAATCATCCAGAGTCAGAATGAATGTTACACACACAAATGCACAAAGTGAGGAGGAAAAAAAAACTAACACTGTTGTCCAAACAGTCCATGGGGGAGGGGTGGATTTAAATTCCAAAAGGGTCTTGCAGCTCGTTTCCTAGTTCCAGCAATGTGTTTGTGAAAAATCTGTCTTTTTGTCTTCCTGAAAAAATGCTAAATCTACATTGGTGGCCCAGTCTAAGTTTGCTTTTCTTTGCACTTTCAATTCAAGTGAATGAGGGAGAATGAAGTGGCCCGAGACCCTTTATTTGATCTACTCAATTGTATTAAGTGACGGAATTCAAATGTATTTGTTTAATACCCCCAAAAGACTGCTACTTTTCTATGAGGGAGGCAGCTAAAGTGCTTTTTTATCCTGAAAATAAATAGTCGAATAGAATGAAAAATATGTATAGATATACTTTGCAGATGTATCTCCATCTGTATTTAGAAACTTGTTGAATTAAGTCGTCCTCAACATTAAATCACGATAAGCTCGAAACATTTGAGAAAAATAATCTGCCTGACACGTTTAACTGCGCTCGATGACTTTTGAAGGACAACGTAAAGAGCCTAAATGTTTATTATTGAGCTTAATTGTGTTTAGCCCACAGCTTGATGAATGAGCCTAATTGTCTGCGCTGTGACCATGCATCGCAACTCCATGCATCCTAATCGACTGCACATTCATTTCTCTCCCCATTGCTTCTCTATCAAATTCTATCAAATCCAGGTACACGAGATCAGCGGTGTAATTGTTATTATTACTATCAATGTAACTTTTATTCTTATTATTTAACAATATTGTGGGTTAGAAATTAATGTATGATTTTCCGGAAAAAAAAGGTTCATATATTTTAATAAATGTAATAGCAATAACAATACTCAAATTAAAGGTTTTCTTAGATTAAATCTTTAGAAACATTTTGGATTGTTTACTTCACTTTTAATGAGAAAATATTTTGATGACCATTTTTTTCCAACTCATTGCAGACTGTTTGCACACTTTTCGAAAGCATGCATGCTTGCAAAAAAATATCAAACAAAACAAAACAATAACAACAACACAATTTTTTTTGAATGCATGCTTTTACCTAAAAAACAGTACACATTTACAGCATCTGATACACATGGTCACCACGGACTTTTAAATTAAATGCTTCACAGAACTTTTTCTGGAAAATAGATATCTAAAACATAAAATTAAAAAGTGCATTTTACAACATTTCAGTATCAGTTTTTTGCAATATTCACACCTTGCATCGTGAGGACGTCTCATACCACTTTCCCAGTTTGAAAAGATATGATAACTCATTTTGCTTTCTTTTTTTTTACAGAGATGGTAAGAACACATCTAAATCCTATTCCTATTTGGTATACCCTTATCCATCATTGCAGTAATTAAAAGCAAACGAAAACACAGTCATTGCCTCGCAATTTAATTGACATTACAGCGGTCACACAGAAACGGTGCAAACATTTTGCTATTTGATACAACTGAAAAACTGCCACGGAAATTGCAAGCACTTCAAATCAGAGTCGGTGGTGCCAAAACAAACGACCCCCAGCTGGCACACCACGTCCGCCGCTCAGGTTTCCGAATAAACTGAAAAATAGAACTATCAAATAATTTATATTTTCAAGAGCAATACTTCCCTGTGCGACACTGTGCTGGACTTCTTTGACACGATTTAAAGCTACACAATCGACACGTACACAATTAATTTGATATGCAACTGCAACTCGCCTTAGTTTCCGACGACAGAAAATATAAACTTTGGGATTGATAAAAGGGGCCTTGGGAGCCGGCCAGCAGTTCGTTTGCATGAGAAAAGTTCGGCCGGTCAGTGCACAGCCACGGACTGCAAGGTGGAGGGGCTGGTCAGAGTCTCGCTGGGGGTCGCCGGGCTGCTTTGGCTCGTCGCTGTCTGCGGGGACGTCGGGCTCAGCGACTGAGGAGAGTTCGACAGAAACGCGGGAATGTGTGGCGGCAACGCCGAGAACCCCGCCATGGAGGTCGGCGTCGGCTTGATCGGCACGGGAATGGCCGGTAACGACTGTCCCCCGTGACACAGGGACTTGAGCGGCATGCCGTACGCGCCGTAGTCGCCGCTCGCCATGGAGATGGGGGCCGTCGTGTCGATCATGCCGGTGTTGTACATGTGGGGCCAGGCCGTCGTCAGCTGGTTGTGCAGCGGGTAGCCGGCGGACATGGACTGCATGGTGGAGAACGCCAGGCTGCCCGGCACCTTGTACTCTCTGGCGATGATGTTCTCGATGGCGAACGGGTGCTTGAAGGTTGAGGACTGGGACACTCCGAGGTTGTAAGATGACATCTGGGGCAGGTGTGTGCCGCTGGCCGCCAAGGCGCTCAGCCTCAGTTTGGCCTGCTGCTGCAGGTAATGGGCGGCGTCCGACTGCTTGCTGGGGGCCAAGTGATCGGTCGAAGTCAACAGTTTGAACCTCTTGCGTCGTCTCAAGAAACTGCCGTTCTCGAACATGTCCCCGCAGCTGGGGTGCAGAGCCCAGAAGCTGCCTTTGCCCGGCTGATCCGGGCGCCGGGGGATTTTGATGAAACAGTCGTTGAAGGACAGGTTGTGTCGCAGCGAGTTTTGCCACCGCTGAGTGTTTTCTCTATAATAAGGGAATCTATCCATGATGAACTTGTAGATTTCACTGAGAGGCAGCATCTTCTCTGGGCAGCTCTGGATCGCCATGGCAGTGAGGGAGATGTAGGAGTAAGGCGGCTTCTGGTCGCTGTACGTGTTTCTCCCTGGGCGAGGCATCCTGGATATCTTCAGGAAAAGCAATTTAAAAAACAAAAGTAGTCTCCCTTAATTCCTTGACGAAAGTTTGCCGCTCTTCATGAAGAAAAAAACACACGAAAGTTTCAATATCGACACTGCTGGAGTTGTGCGCTAAACAGCCGGATCGAGCGCCCGTGCGGTGTGCACATTTATGAAGTGACGGCTGCTGTGAGTCTCTCTGCCAAAGTAAGTCAGATCGTCCCGCTAGCGGAGCTGTGAATAGATTTCATTTGGCGTCCTCGATAAGACGAGCTAAGTGGATGCCTCCATGGCCTTCCTCTAACCATCTGATAGTTTTATGTAGTGACATGAGCAGAAAAGACCCCTGTAGAGGCGCTCCATTAATGTGCCACCTCTTTGCTATCACATGACAATTGCCATGGGAGGAGGGGGAGAGGGGAGGGGGGGGGGGGGGGGGGGGATCGGGAGGAAGCCATAATCTGGTTTCATTTACACCTATTTACATGGACACCTTGGGCCAATGGAAATCATTTCCATTTGAAGACAGAAAAAGGGGTGAAAAGGCTCGGCAACCGGAATTGAACTTAGATAATGAAACTCGGTGTGTGAAGGTATGCGCTAATATTTCTTCAGCGGACTGTACACGTACACTCAGGGTAGATATTTGGAATTTCAACGGAAACGGTATATTGTAATTTATTTCTATTTTGTAATGAAACTGACTTTTTAAACGTGTGTGTTGCTGTTGGGGCAGATGCGCATTTTATCTGGAGGTGGATTAATTAAAATGAGTACCGTTTGTGCAGTGGCGTGTAACTAGGGGGGGGGGGGGGGGGGGGGGGCAAGAACAATTTTGTGTGAGCTTTCAAAAAAAAAAAAAAGAGGATCGAAAACAAAGGTCACTTTCTGAAACATCTTAAAGTAGAGTAGTGAGGCGTGACATTCCCAGGGTGACGAGACACAAAAGCTGAGGTCATGGGGATGAAAAAGAGAATCAAACAGCCACTTTCACACGTCTGCCCTCCTCTGCTGCAGCCCCGAACACAATAGGAAACAAATGTTGTTAAAAGAGGATCGATGCCATTCAGCCTAAAGCAGCGCATGATAGCCAAACAATATTGTCACACTGACTCGAGTTGAGATATGCTGCCACCCAGACCTGCGGAGAGGGAAACAGGAAGAAACCAGCCTCTCAGGGAACGATTAAGAGAAATGTAAAGATCAGAGCTAATACAAAGGAAAATATTTATTCAAGGGCTGAGTCCAAGTTGGAAAATAAATATGAACTCTTAAAAAAATAATACACCTCTGAGCTCTAAATCTGAAATTGTATGGATAGTATGATTTTTTTTTTGTGGTGATATTTTTTTTTTTTCAATCCTTAACGCATTTCGGGCTCTGCGGAGCAAGATGTCTGCTGACTGCAGACAATATTTAAATAGGCCACTAATCAACCTATAAATAGACAAATCATGGCCGGACGTGAAGAAACTTGCGTCTTTAATACATTCATAGCTGAATCACGAGTTTAATTAAATCCATTTTCTATTTGGGTCATGCTTATCATCGCGAGACGGACTGTACATTTAGAGGCATTTGTTACCTGGACTCTGCGTTAAAACGCACGTGCAGTGAAGGCAAGTGTAGTTTGTGCTCTACTGCAAAATGTGACTCTCCCACCCAACCAATAGGCCTGTGCTGCTAATTAAGTCCGTGGTGATTTCAGCCCCAAGAGATATTTTACGGTGCAATTAAGGATGCGCCGATGATGGGTTATGAATATTCAGCAGAATGACAATTAATTAGCAGACAGGCTCTCACAATAACCTCCTCAATAGACAACATAGCCTATAACGGAATATGCACACTATTTAAAGGCCATTTTCACATGTTACCTACTTGAATATTCATTTTTGACCAGGAAAAAAAACAGAGGAAAAGCATGATCTCAATGCTCGATATGATGATAAGGTGAATGTAATGTTTTTGTTTGTTTATTTTATCAAACGGCGGGATTACAGTCCTTGCAGCAGCCCGCCCCATTAGTTGGTTAGGGGTGACATCAGAGGGGGGTACCTGGAAGAAGACCTCAGGGCATTTACAACATATGCTCGGATTATGCTTAATGGTCTAATTACATAAATTAGGCATTCATTATACGGCACATCAGATATCTCAATTGCACAGAGGCGGGAATATCTAATTCAATAAGTCTGTGAATTGTTTCATCAAATTAGACACTGAAAATGAATAAGGAAAGAAAATGAAAAAATGTTTATCACTATGATCACAATTTATGCTTTTTTTAAATGATTGTGTCCTGATTACTAACTGTTTTATTTTCTGCTCTTTTTTTTTTCTCAGGCAGCAGTTTCACTTTGTGACCATAAGATGGGGACAGGCTCTTGAGTTTGTATTCCTTGATTATTCAATGGTAATGATTTATATATGTATATTATCTTATAACATTTGTTCATTTTGTAAGGTGCTCTTATGCAAATTTGTGATTTTGGGCCATACAAAATAAAGTTAATTGAATTGAGTTACAAACTGCACAAATATGCCCACTTAGCTTAGTTTGTCTCTCTTCTTATTTATAATTTTACAAGAAATAATTAGTTATTTCTAACAGTTAATATGACATTTAGCTATTCACTGTACGACTATGAATTTGTATCTGCAGGCACATGTGAAACGTGTGTGTGTGGGTTTGCGTTTGCGTTTGCGTGAAGGAGGGAGTCCCGGTTCATTGACTCCATATGGTGAGAAACAGCAGGACTGATGAGTGTACTACCTGAGGTCCGTGTTTGTGCCGTCAACTGTAACCAAAACAGCAACCCCCTGACCTGCTGCATTATTCATAAAAGACGAGATGTCTCATTTCATCGTTTAGGTTTGGTGACAGATGACTCCGTAACAACAAATCATCCTGGTAAACTACATATGATACTTAGGCAAGAAGAAAGAAGGGGAGTAAGACAGAAACAGAAAATGTAAATGGGCAAAAAGATGAGAAAAGAAAACAGAATAACAATATTGAGAACAAGACGAAGCTCTCACTACTATATCAGACATCACTGTATAATGAACTAGTTTCGTATGAACAATAATTCAGAGTTACTGTATATATTGTTGAAAATTAGAGGATAATGCAATATTAAGCAATATGAGATATATAATATATTAACAACAAACGCAACAAAGAATGAAATTTCACTGTGAACCAGAAAGATAAAAGATAATAATATAAAAAGGTATAAATGAACATAGTTCAATCAGATGCAAAGAGTTACCTTTCAGAGGATAAAAGATGAGGTGGGAGGCTTTGAGATGAGCATATCTGTGCAGTAAGGATCACAGGACAAAGTAATATTATTGGAGGTGTAGAGGGGGGTGTTTTGCCATTAAATGCTGATGTACAACTGCACCAAATGACAGGTGACATGTTTGATATAAAATGGAAAAATATATTGTGTGACTTTAACTGAATTTACGACCCTTAGAATAAGTTATAGGTCTCTCCACAAACCTATCACCTCTCCTTTTTTGATAATTTTTTTTTCCTTTTGGAGAAATGATGGAAAACTGATATAAGCTTTGACTGCTGAAGTTTGAAATGTTGGGGGTAGTGAGGGATGAAAAGCTTTGAACTCTGGGATCAATTCAGAGGAAGTTGATATTGTTGTTTGTGCCACCAACAAGTCTCTCCTTTGGGGGTTAGTTTGTTACACATTTAACTGAGGCAAATCCTTTTTTTATTGTGAGCTTATGGTTGGAAGGCACGGCCCTTTGTGTGGCTCATATTCATCCAGACCTTGGCAGTGATCAGAACTCGCTTAACCAACTGGGACCGAACGAGGGGCATTTTGCTCCTTCTTTCATCTCATACATCGGGGAAATGTCTGGTCTCCAAGGATGTGGCTGACAGAGCATGAACAACACAATATACAATAATAATACAGGAGTGTTTATAACACACATAAACAAAAACACACCCATGGGGAAGGTAACGGAACGAAAAGATATCACAGGAAATTTTGTCCAAAAAATGTTTTCCGAGGTAATCCATGTGTTCACGTCCAGTGGTCAAAGTAGAAGAGAGACAAAGTTGAACATTTACATTTCTCTTTCTAACCCACGTCTCCTGGGCGACTCTCACTTTGGAGACAAGGGCCGGTGCTTTGTTTTAATGTCACTCAGTTTTTGTGTTTTATGAGACAGGACTGCAGTCGCCAAGGCGATGCTCGGTCCTCCTGGGTGACAAACACAATGACCAATCCCTAAGTGCCACTTCTATTGATATGTTTTAATTGGTGAGTGATATATGCTGCTGTAAGACTCACATTTGCATTGCTAAGCATAAACAAGCTTCACAATAAATAAATCACAAAGAGCTTTGAAGAGAAACGCAAACAAGTGATATCGCATGGTGCGCTTTGCACTGCCTCCTTTATGGTTGACCAGCACAATGTGCCTCCTGCTGAAAGGTAATATGCATGACACATTTCCAGGCACTAATTCATTTGTTTAGTAATAGGGGAGCTAACCTGTGCTGAAAACATGGGTGCAGTGAGGAAAACATAAAGGTCCTTTTAATCCACGGCTAATCAAAAGGGCACAGGAAACAACCCCGCAGTTGGATTTTTCATCATATTAATTAAAGCAAGGCTGGAATATTTGGGCGTCTATGGCATAGAAGGTCAAAATGCCGATTTGGCATCATTAATCCACCAGACTGCTTTGACACTATCAGCGTAAGAATGCAAACCGTAGCTGCAGCCAAGGCCCCCTCTAAAGCACAGCTAATACCTGGAAAGAAATGTGTATTTATGTGTCTGGAAACATGTTGATTAAGGGTTCTTAAAGCAGCATTGTCTAGCTCAGTGGTTCTCAACTGGTCTGGCTCCGGGACCCACCATCACCCCTTAATGACAAGCTGCGACCCAAATACTACCTGAGATAGTATGGAGACAGAATACGTATGCCAACACAAAAACAAGTTTAATGAAAAAACAAAACAGCCAGCTGGTAGCGATGCTTGAGAAGGAACTATTCCCTTTTACAGTCAATTAGCTAAAAACCCCAAAGTGTACCTTAAGGACACGAGGTATTCCAACATACATAACAATTAAGAATCTTCAGCCATTTCAAACAAACTCAACAGCTTTCATGCACAAACAAAAAGTCAAATAAGACACAAATGACCTAACTAACAGATATGACAAACACTGTCTTGAGGAGCAGCTTTTGCACAAATTCAAAATAAATTAAATAAACCTGGCACACGCTGCAGAAAACATGGACGGACGAGCCGGCAAAAAATACGACACTCCGCTGCATTAAAAAAGTCCCTTTTTTTAAAATTC